AAAGTTGATGCAAGACAATTGTCAACTTACACCAGGGACGTGGAGGCCCCACCGTTTTTTTAATCTCAACCGTATCGAAAACGAATTCCAAGCCCAAGCGTATTCTCACACTGCACATCACACACAAATAAGGCACCTGATAAAAGTGTATGAGATTCTCAAAGCTGTACTGTGGTATTAAAGTTTTTCATGTTTTTGGTACATTGCTGATAAACCTTCATTGTTGGAAATAAAAACACCATAGCATGCGTATTCAAACCATGATAAAAATTGAACACCACCAGAGCAATTTTCATAGAGGCACGATGGCGAGGTTTACGTGGGTATCTTTATTCGTTCCAAGGTCACTGGATAACACTTGTAATTTTGATGAGAGGTACTTGGTTCAAGCCTGACTGTGGCAGGTTTCTTCGCTTGCTGCCTCGCCGGCGATGACAGCAACCAAGGAGTAACCGCCAAGTCCCGGGATTGGCGCTGTATCTGCTGCTGCAATGACGCTGGTGGGCCAGCGCCCGCAGCGGTGGAGTCGAGGGCGTGGGCTACCTTAAATTAGACCACACGATCCGGCTACCCACCCCGAGGGATCGAGCTCGCTCTGAGTCTCCAGAGCGTTGTGTGACCCCCAGGTCCGAGAAATCGGTAAAGGTCCGGCTACCCACCCCGAGGGATCGAGCTCGCTCCGAGTCTTCGGAGCGTTGTCTGACCTCCAGGTCCAAGAAATCGGTAAAGCTCTCTATGCCTGCGGGCTAAACGTGCTTGGTCAAGACCTTACCGCAAGGGCGCCAAAATGAAGCCTCCGCTATGGATAGTGTACAGTGTATACATTCGGCGCGGATCATGGCTGATTTCGCCTGTAACTCGCCGCACGAGGACAGACCAGGTACGACGTGCGTCGGCTTCGGCAGGTGTTAGTCTTTTTTTTTCGCTCACCTAAACCGTTTGCGCAAGCACATCCACTGACTCAGGGGATATGAGTCATCGCGTTATCGTGGACATGGGCGCATCATCGTAGACATGGTTATCATCAACTCTCCGCACCAGATCCAACACAGGGATGTTGCGCGCAGCCAGCGCAGTGACCATTACCTGATCAACTCTACCTTAAACGTAAAACGGAGCGAGGCTACAGCAAACAGGTGAACACAGCTGTCGCCGCGTTGATACTGCTACGCTGCTGCAGAGTGTGGTCACGGCAATAAAGACAGTGGGATGCGTTCTTAACCATCTTGAAACCGCCGCTTGACGTGCGTGCGCCACAGCAGGACGTCTAGATTTACAACGTCGCCGCCGTCGCCGCGTTCGCCGCTGCGTTTCGCTGCGTGCAGCCAGCCGATGCCACCACCGCCGAGATATTCGATGACCTATTGGGGTAGCGAGACCCGGACGCCCACGCCGCGTCATCCGTGACACCGTCGGTGGCAAGGGACCATTACCGACAGGACTTCCAGTTACGCTGGTCAGTCACGTCAGCGAGCCTTCGCTGACATCGAGAGGAAGACCTCCGACAATGTGCTAGCAGCGACTTCGTTGGGTACGCGAGACTGCTTCTACGCGGGTGTGCGCGTGTTGTTTTGCAGAATCCACTATGGTATCGATGAACACCAGCAGCACCTGTAGTCGCGATGTTATGGCGCCTCATGCTGTCAAGGAAGTGGGAGACATCACTTATGGGGTCAGCTTTTAGATCTCGGTATATTAAGGAACGCCGACCCAATCTCGCTCATTCCTGTAGTCTTGAGCTAGACGAGAAGCTGGTGTTTGAGCACCTTGTGACACATTTTACATCGCATGCCCTGATATCTCAAGTCGTCCAAAATAGAGGAACGCTCTGTCTCAGCGGTCCTCAAGCAGTACAAGAGACCATCGAACTGACATTTGGGATCCATGCCTGCGGGCGGGGGTACAAATGGTGACTTACAGCCGGTCCATCGGGCCTTTCAGCTTTCCAATCTGGCTCTTTTTGGTACCGAGGGGCCCCTCCCCTCCTCCCCGCACCCCCTCAAACAAAGCATGTGACCGACTCAAGGCCACTAACCGAGACATGACCCCCTGTTAGGCACTGTGGACCCTTAACCGACACAAGAACCCTAACCACTGTTTCCGGGACCTAGACCATGCAAGTAGTAACCCCCGGTCTTGCCCCTATTTGGGAAATAGGTCCTCGTGGTTCAGACTGCCAGTGAGCCGACTGTTCGGTGCTCGTGGTCTCTGGCCGACCGAGATACCCGCATTGTCCCCAGGGGATTTCAAACAGTGCAAGATGACCTCTAACCGCTATTTTAAGTCATGACCCTACGGGCCGCGATTCTATGTTACCTACAGCCAGTCCTTTGGGCTCTTATGCCCTTCAATCGGGCCCCTGATCGTCAGTCCGGCTGGGCCGCCCGGGCTCCTCTTCGGGCCTCATCGAACACTGCCCCTGGTCGGCTCGGGGCCCCTTGCAAACACAAAACCATCTGTTGGGCACTGCGGGCCCCTGGCAGATGCAGGGAGCCCGACCAGTGTAAATCACTGGCCCCGGGTTTATAACTGGTTGGGAAATGGGCCCTCCGGCCCGCATCGACACGGAGCTTACTGTTCGGTACTGGTGGTTCTTGACCGACATACAAGCCCATATCGACTCAGGGTGTCCCCGATCAGCGCAAAGGGCCCTCTGACTGTCACTTGAGAGTTCGTCTTCGCAAGCTGGAGCCCCTTCAAAAGGCCCGACCAGCCCTTTGTGCTCTTTAGCCTTTCAATCGGGCCCTGGATCGTCGGTCCCGGTGGGCCCTCCAGGCTCTTACACTCGGGCCCCAACACAGGACCCCCGCTGACTGTTAAGCGCTGTGGGGCCCCTGACAAACACTGGGGCCACAAAGCATGTAAATCGGGGTTCCTGGTTTGTCCCTGCTAGCGGAATCGGCCACCTGTGCGTAATTAGTGGTGTCTAACCGACATATAGGGCCTTATCAACGCAGAGAGACCCTAATCAGCGCGGAGGGCCCTCTGGATGGCATTGAAGTGGCCGGCTCTGCGGGCCGTGCCCCTGAATGCAAACTCAGGCCGGCCTTTCTGGCCCTTTAGGCCTTTAAATCGGCCCTTAATCGTAGGCCCCGATTAAGTTCCAAGGGACCCTTCAGACCCCTCGAAACCTAAGTGTGTGGGGGTGGGGGTGGGGACACGTGTCCCTGTCTGTGCTCCCTATCTGCGCTACACACACACACACACATATATATATATATATATATATATATATATATATATATATATAATAAGGTAGATCTTTTTGTGGTTGAAGATAGCCTGAACATTAAAGGAGGAAATCCGTAAAACGCTTCGTACCGAACCGTTGGGTGACGTCGATGACTGGCCACTCAATCATGCTGAGAAATCGACACCCATGGCTCTCAGAATGACCCATCGGTTTATACTTTATACCATATATACCTTGCAGCATCGAAAACCTGCCTGGTTTACTGCGATGAAATAATGGGCAATGCCCTTTTTGTGAAGTAAGGTTGCAACTGCGAGGAAAAACCACCACGACAAAGCCGAGGCAAGGGGTTGAGGATGGCATGAGACCAAGTCCGGAGGGATAATTTAGAGGTCATATTCCATGCTGAAGTCGAAGCCGAAGTCGGCTCTTAAAACTGACAAAAAGCCGAAGCCGAAGCCATCCGTTCAAATGACACGAGGCGATATCGAAGCCGAAGCCCACCGTCAAAAATGTTTCAAGGCCAAAGCCGACCCTGCAGCCTTAGGAGGAAAATGGTGGCTTCGCGAAGCCGAAGCCGACGTTGAAGCCGGCTTCCTCCTTATGTCTGAGCAGTGTGTATTTTTCAAGCTAGTGCGCGCAGTTGAATGAAAATGTCAAACAAAACGCACACCATTTATTCTAGCTAGAGATCTTCTGTGACAGCTGATTACCTAACATACGAATTACTGTTTTCTTTACCGTGCTTGCCATTCGAGCACTTAACAAATTAGTACTAATATGTGCGTAAATTATGCATGCTTACAAAATCGAAATATGTGTCTGTACATGTTGATCATAGGCACCAAAGTACCCTACACTCTGATCACGTGAGGCGGATCTTGCGTTATATGATCTGGTTACCTATTTGATAAAGACCAGTTAGCCAATCGCGGGCATCTTGTGGTGTTTTCAGCAACTTCATTAAATGTGACAACCCGAAACGCTTTCTTTATGTTGGATTGGCGGCCACTTGTTTGAAATAGGCTTCCATGCCAGAAAGAGTACCCGATCAAGATTCCTGGATCAAGATTCCTGGAGTCATGGCCAGCACACAATGTCCAAAGAGTGTCTTTGTCAAAGAGTGTCAAAGAGTGTCAAAGAGTGTCAAAGAGTGTCAGTGAAACTTTTCCTACGCTTTTGCGTATTCCAACCACATATATTGGGGTAAGCCATCATGGGGCGGGGGCAACATAATATTGAGGGGGGGGGGAGGGGAGGCAGGAGCTTCACAATATAATACAAATTGACGCCCGTGGACGGCAGTGGACAGCGGCAATGTAACGACTCCTCGAAGTGACGTTTCTGGGTAATTCCTCTGTTTTTCTGGGTAATTACTCGAGTGTCCCTCGTATCCTTGCAGCACGTCGGGACAGTGCAATGCTGCCCATGAAAAGGACGATTCTTTCATGGCAGTTACACTCGTTTGGTACCACATCAAGCACATTTCAATCTTGAAAAAGCCCAGTTTGCTGATTGTGACTTCTGCTGGCCTCACGGCCGAGGCGCACGCTTCTCCAGCCGGCGCTGAATGATCTGTCCCCCGCCGAGGCCGAGGTCGTGACCCCTGCCTGGTCAGCTGCTCTGCGCCCAGACGGGCGTCTGGGGCGTGTTGCTCCACCCATCGCCTAGTCACTGCACCCGTCCAGAACATCGCACGGGCTCTCACCTCCAGTAAATAGTCTACGTTCTCGAGCGGCCTCTCACTGCTGGAGAACTGCACACTGCGCTGGCAGGGCCAGACCGCACGTGCAGCAACAAACAACCATTTCCGAGAGAAGTGTATTACCCAGACAGTTTGCAGTCCAACTGGCATACACCCGTACAATTTAAATTCCGCCTGTCAATTCGGGGAACGCCGCAGCACAAGCGCAAGCTTTGAACAATTTCTTAGAATTTTCCTCTACGCTGTTAAGCCCCAATGCCGATCACACGATAGCCACTCTTGCGGTGATGTGGAGGCATGGTCCCGCTCTCTTGCGGTCTTGCGGCGATGCGGTAAAGATGAACAATCTTGAGAGCGGAGCAAGTATGGCAGGAGCGGCGAAGATGCTGGCGTAGCTCACGAAGCTTCGCACCAAGAGGACAATGGAAGAGCGGCGGCGGCATTCTCAAGCGTGAATTTGAAGCCCCGTGGATCACTGACAATGTCAATGGGCGATTGGACGACAGCTTCCACCTTTCGTAGCCCTCAAATCAGTGCACCAACGACCAGATCGCGGGTCTATCACATTTTTGTCAACTAGATCTCGAACTGCCCAGAAGTACAACCCCCTTCAATTTTGTGAGACCCCAGACCTACCTACGAAAAGCCTAGCCCACACAGCAAGCGACAGGACCAGGTGTATTTGGACAGCAGCTAGCGACAGCAGCCGGCGAACAGCGGCTAGACGGACAGATGGTGGACAGCTGGATAGACAGACAGACAGGCGGAGGGGGAGCAGGGGAAGACGGGCGCTGCGGCGCCGTCGCCGTGGCCCGACGGTCGGCAGCGACCCGGGGTGGGCGGTGCGGGCGCGGGCGCCGCCTGCCGCTGACCCGGCTCGGCTCGCGGCTCGCCTCGGGCGCCGTCGCTCGGCGAACGCCATGCAGGTGCCAGGTTGGCGCTGGCGGCCGGCTGGGCAGCGCGCGGCCCGGCTCGGCTCGGCCACGGGCTCGCAGTTTCGCTGGCTCGGGGGCTCCGTCTCCGCGCGCAGGAGTCTCGCGCTGTCTCGGGTCGGACCGTCAGGACGCCGCCACTTCCCTCAGCTGCGGCCCTTGCTCGACACGGCCCACTTCGAGTGGAAGGTCGTGATCAGCTCGAAGTGGATCTCTGCGGAGGGCGGAGAGAGCACAGGTCAGGTCACGGGACGACAAAGCCGGGAGACACGTGCCGGCAGCAGCCGCGGCAGAGCAGGAGTGCGCTGGCATGAACCGCCAATATTGACGCGCTCTGGCAACAACCACGAGTCATGGCGCAGCCGATATGGCACGCCCGTGTTATGTCTTACGTCGTCTATTTGTCATAGCTTTTGACTAGTTTCACAATATTTCGTCTGGCTGCAACAGCTTTTGAATAATTTGAAAGAAATTGTCGACTTTTTGCGCGACGCCTTTTCAACACATGTACGTGGCGCCGTTCTGGGTGACACCAACTCGACATCTTTGAGCGCACAATGTCACCCTGCGTCCCACTCACGCTCTCTCTCTCTCTCTCTCTCTCTCTCTCTCTCTCTCTCTCTCTCTCTCTCTCTCTCTCTCTCTCTCTCTCTCTCTCTCTCTCTCTCTCTCTCTCTCTCTCTCTCTCTCTCTCTCTCCCTCTCTCTCTCTCTCTCTCTCTCTCTCTCTCTCTCTCTCTCTCTCTCTCTCTCTCTCTCTCTCTCTCTCTCTCTCTCTCTCTCTCTCTCTTCTGCGGCTGGTGCCGTGCTACCAGTGTTTGATAAAGTGCTGCTCTACCCAAGCGTGTGTCAGTTGAAGCCATGCCGCCCCAATTGCGAGATATCCTACCACTCTGAGCGGTATGTCGTCCCACCCTACATCCTCCCTGACTGGCTGTAAGACATCCTACCACTCTGAGCGGTATGTCGTCCCACCCTACATCCTCCCTGACTGAGTGTGAGATGTCCTACCACCCTGAGCGATGGGTAGTCCCCTCACACACCCTCCCTGAGTGCGAAACACCGTGCCACCCTCTCCGAGTGAGCGCCCCGTCCCCAGCCCGGCGCGTACCGGCGGCGGAGGCGAGCCCTCGCGGGCTGAAGTCGCGGCCGGGCGCCGCGTCGTCACCGCCGACCAGCAGCGTCACGGACGGCGGCGCCGCCGGCTCCGGCGCCGGCACCGACTGGCGCAGGTGGTTGCAGCACTCCAGGATCTGGAAGAAGTGCCTGCCGGCGCCGCGGGACCGAGTCAGGGCGGAACACGAGCGTGCGGCGCCACATGGTGTCCGCGCACGGTGACGAGCCGCACCCGCACACCCACGCGCGGTGACGAGCCGCACCCGCACACCCACGCGCGGTGACGAGCCGCACCCGCACACCCACGCGCGGTGACGAGCCGCACCCGCGCGCCCACGCCGCCAGGAACAGCTCGACAACGCTCACGCCCCTCAGCAGTGCCGACCCCACACATGACATCTCCGGAGTGCAGCTGGGGTGCCGCTGTTGACAGAAGGCTCGAACACACAGAACAACGGCATGTTGTGCACAATAGCCTGGACCTCCCGGCATCACCAGCCACCCCTGCAGCGTCACCCCCGCCTCAGCAGGCCGGCAGTCGGCCGACCCGAGCCGCTCGTCCGTGCTCACCATTGGTCGCGCTGCTTGCGGCGAGGGTACTTGACCAGCTCGAGGGAGGCCTTCTCAGTTGGCGCGCTGAGGTCGCAGGAAACGGTTGCCGCGCCGGAACTGTGTCTCCAGCCAGCGGCTGGCCTCACGCGCGCCGGCGCACGCCGCCTTCCGCTCATCCAGCTCGTGGATTACTGGCCGAAGAACGGAGGATTAGACGCCAGCTCTGCACAGCGAGACGAAGCCGGACGGAGGGTTACACGCCAGCTCCTCCCGGCTCCGCGCAGCGATGCGTCTCCTTGGACGTTGCTCTTCGGCACGTTTCTCTGGGCATATTGGACGTGGTGCTGTCGTTTTCTGCGTACCATGCAAAATGATAGCCCAACAAGCGCAAATTGATAACCATTGAATAGCAAGAACTGATCGCACATCTTCAAATAATGGGGGCCACAATACGAGTAATATCTTTCGCCCGTAAGATTCTAATTTGCTTCCCTTTCAGCGTGTCCGTTTTCATTGCAAGGATAACACACACCCATTTACCCCGAAGTCTTGCACTCCGGTTGGAAACCATCTGAGGAAGACCTGTACCGGACCCAGCAACGCGCTTCGTCTGACGCAACACCATGAACGCTCCACGCCAACGTCAGCCCCTCCCCGCACCTCAACCCCCCCCCCCCCCCCCCCGCCTCCGCGCGCCGGCGGGCCGCACCTGCGCTGGGCACGACGGTGACGAACTGGCGCGCCTTCACCATCTGCTTGAGCGGCTCGAGGTGGGCGACGAGCGCGGCCGTGTCGACCACCACGTACGGCGAGAAGCTGGCCTGGCCGCCGCGGCGCGCCGTCCGGCAGCGCAGCGAGCGCACCTCCGAGCGCAGCCACTGCTCGGCCATGCTGGTCATCAGCTGGCGGCGCCGCTCGACGCTCTGCCGGCCAGACGGCGGCGGCGGTCAGGGCGGTGCGGCGGCGCCACGCGGCCGGTCAGGGGCGCGGCCGTCCGCCAGTCCGCTGCGGCGTGAGCGGGGGGCAGAGAGCGCTGCACAAGTCCTGGTTCTTGAGAGGTCCTGGGATGGTCATCCTCGCATCTTACACAGCACGGCGTGACGAGGCGGGCTTGCGGCCGCCACAATAGGTGACAGCCCTGGGCTTTGTGCCGCAGCATCCCACACCCAGCGGAGGGCGCAATACCACGCACTGCGGCGTCCTCTGCAACCATATCATCCTGCGTCCCTACAACGACGAAGACACTAGCGCAGGGGCCTCGGGGGCCAGTTGATACCCCGCAAGGAGCGTCCGTGTAGGACCGACAGCGTTTTCCATGACCTTGAGCGCATTAAGCCAGGCAGTCAAACCGGACATGCAGATATTACACAAGCTTCCTTACAAGGGCCAGCAGCGTGTGGTCACAACTGGCATGGCATCTGGTTAAGATAAAGGCAAACAACCAGCTTTGCAGCCCCTTGGACGCCAGATCCCCGTAAGATGCCTCTGTGGTTTAAGAAAAACATGTTCGGCTCGTAATCCAATGACACTGGGTACAAGTCCCAGAAGGGGAGAGTTGTTTTGGCCCAATGACATGGGAAGATCGACTGGAAACTGGCCGAAAGAGGGGAAATGACATGATGGGTCCGTCTCGTACCAATTTATGGCACTTAAAATCCGCGACCAGCCGTCTGGCGTAAAACCGGAAGCAAACTTATCAGATGGACGGGAACGGGGGACGGATGGACGGCTGGGTGGTGGGTTTTGGCCACCCGCACAAAGCTCCGCTTAGGAAGCTTCTCTTAATCCAACACCACTTACGCATACCATACAAAATAATTGCATTCACAAAATGGCAACCAATAAAAAACATTGGCTTATCGCGCAGTTACCGGCTTTGTCGATACTCTACGCTTTGCGTGCATCTGAGCGGGAACTACGTTTTGATACTATCGGCCGTCGACGACAATGGTCACCGCACGGAAATCCACTGCCCAGAACACGCGCCTCGCCGCCGCTCTGGCACGCAGGACGAGTAGCCACTGCTGCTTTGTGGCTAGGAAGCCCAGGCTCACTGGCCCGGCCTTTGAATGGCGACAGAAGCGCAACACCGGCCGGTGGAATGTGGAGGCCAGGACGGGTTCGGGAGCTGCCGCGGCATACTGCATTCAGATCCCGCGGACAGGAAACATTCGGGGCGGTTGGGTGGTTGACAGCGTAATGCCCCGTGTGTGCGACTGATCTAAACGTGCAGCTGTATGCATACCAGCATAACTCACATTTAGCCTATATTTGTCCGCAACGACTACAAAGGCGATACACTTCCAGCGCGATCTGGTCAAGGACATTCGGGCGTGAAAGTCGCAGGGTTCACTGCCAACAAACAGGAATATATACAACGGAAGAAGATCTTCTCCGCCTAACTTCCGGAAGGATCTTGATATGCAGCGCGAATATCACAAATGAGTTACCTTGCATGAAAAGCAAAAATGTTATTCCTTTCGGTGGTAAATGGGCCATAGTTATCGGGCGACTAACCTCGACAGCTTCGCTCTGCGGCTGGTTGTTGTTGTTGACTGTGTTGCTGCTCGAGACGTGGACAAACTTGCCATCCTTGAGCGCGACCCCGAGCTGCGGCACTGACGTCAGCCAGGTGGCGAAATCCACCAGCAGCTGCACCCGTAGCACCACCTGGAGGGAGAGGCGCGGGGCCGTCACGGAACGCGACCCGTCAACTCCGGGGGACACGCTCCGCGGTCTGCCGCTGCCCGGCCGGCCGCTGTCGACGCCCGACCGACACCGGCGCCAAACGCAACCACCAGCCACCAGCGACAGACGGTACGCAGCGGCGCGCACCAGCCTCTGGCCTGACTCTTCACTGCAGCCTGCAGCGTGTGCCGAGGCCACAAGCGGCGCCGCCAGTCACCACGCCCATCGGCGAGCTCGCCAGCGGACTGGGGCCGGGCGGGGCTCCGCTCCAGCGTCGGCCGCTGCCTCACCTCCTCGGCGCCGGACAGGCTCTGGCGCAGCGGGTCCGTCCAGGCCATGTGCTGGTGGCGCGTGCCCAGCAGGTGCATGCCGCGCAGCAGCCGGTCCTCCCACAGCGGCGTGGTCTGCGCCAGCGCCGGCGCCGACGCCGCCAGCTGGCGGGCGAACTCGGGCCGCAGATCATCCACTGCGGGCGGGGTCGAGCACGCCGTTACAGGCCCGGCAGGCGGCGCAGGGGCCCCCGCCGTCCGCTGGGAACGGGTCGGCAGTGGTCATCAGGCGGCAGTCACTGGAGTATCTAGCTATGGTCACTGTGATTGTGACACACATCGGTCATCCCAAAAAGCGTTCATAGGCCCTACGCAGACTCGTGTCAAAACGACTCGTACAGGACGTATCTACTATGCCGTCGTTTGCACATACACACACACATCCTTCTTAAGTGTGCACACAACTGCCGTCGGGCCGGCGGACGACTCTCACCGCCAGAGTCGGCCGTCAGGTCCAGCGAGACGCCGTTCACCAGCACCACCAGCTGGCGCCACAGCTCGGCGCTGCTCTCCGTGCACGACTTGAGCACCTCCTCGTTGGCGCGCAACCAGTCGCAGCACAGACGCAGCGGCACCAGCAGGCCTGCCGGTGACGGCGGTCACTGCTGGGTCGATGACGGGTGACTGACGGGTGGCTGATGGGTCACTGACAAGAGGCCGATGGGTCACTGACGGGTAACTGATGGGTGTCTGATGGGTGACTGATGGGTATCTGACGGGTTTCTGATGGGTCTTTGATGGGTGGTCAACTGGTGACTGATGGGTGACTGTTGGGTGGCTGATGGATCCCTGATTGGTGACTGTTGGGTGGCTGATGGGTGGCTGATGGGTCCTTGACTGGTGACTGTTGGGTGGCTGATGGGCGGCTGATGGGTGACTGATGGGTGGCTGACGGGTGACTGATGTGTAGCTGATCGGTGACTGATGAGCGTTTGATGGTGACTGATGAGTGGGATCGCTCACAGGTCGCTTGCCAGGGCACCGACGCCGTCGAGGGAAGTATGCGCAACTGTGAAACCATCAACTGCTTGACACCAGACACTTTCACATAGCACCAGCACTGTCCGCTGGGACTCCACATTGGCTAAACGCCCCCCGCCTCAAGCAAAACGAGAGCGCCGTCTGAGTACCGATCAGTCCCGATCGCGACAACCTGCCCGTTGGAGGTGGGCGACACCGCTGGTCTTCCCGCTGCAATAGCCCGTCATCCTCGGTCTAGAGGCGAGCCCTCCTACGAGCGCTGCCACCCCCCAAATCCGACCGCGGCATCTGCACCGCCGGCAGTCGCTCACCCTCGCCCTGCAGCACTGCCGTCAGCTCAGCCACGCACGGCCTCGCGCCCGTCTCCGACTCCAGCGGCTCGTCGTTCTCCTCCGAGTCGGAGCCGTCCGAGACGAGCGAGCCCACCGAGTCCGAGTCCGAGTCCGAGTCGGAGAGGCCAGCGCCCGACAGCGCACCGTCCTCCTCGTCTGCCGGCGGCGGGAGCAGAACAGGTCACGATCCAGCGCCAGGTGACGACACAGCGTCAGGTCAGGACACAGCGTCCGGTTACGGCGCAGCGTCAGGCCACGATCCCGCGTCAGGTCACGGCACAGCGTCAGGCCACGACGCAGCGTCAGGTCACGGCACAGCGTCAGGCCACGATCCAGCGTCAGGTCACGGCACAGCGTCAGGTCACGATCCAGCGTCAGGTCACGGCACAGCGTCAGGCCACGATCCAACGTCAGGTCACGGCACAGCGTCAGGTCATGACGCGGCGTCCGGTCACGACACAGCGTCAGGTCACGGTGTGGTCACATCACAAAGTCACCGTCACAAGCAGTGCCAAGTCATGACAGAGGGTCACATCAAGGCAAGGTGCTAGGCCCATGCAGGAGCAAAACCGGTTCGTCAAGATGCCACGGGGGCACACAATGTCTTTCCTGAGCACGGGGTGTCCCGGAAAGACATAACAAAGACACAACGCAGAAATGTCATGCTTCGCCCTGTGAGGAGCAATATCTAACACCTGAATAAGGGATCCAGTCCATCTGAGAGGTGAAAAATGCAAAGATTGCATATAACCAACTCAAGGTACCCGTTCTTACAGATTATCATTTGAACACGACCAACAGCCTATCCCACCATCCCGACACCAGCACAGATCTCACAGCCCACAGCCACCAAGTGACTGCACATCCTGTCCAATCCACGCCGCGGGACTGTAGCCCACCGTGCGCGGCACACCGATCCGCCGTGAACCAAGCGGCGTGCGGCCAACTCGTCACAAGGAGCGCAGCCAAACGCCGCGGAGCCGGGACCTCAGAGCGGGGTCGTGTGCGAGCACGAGCCGCCGCCGAGCTTACCGTCACTGTCGTCGGCCAGCCGGGGCGGCGGCCGGCGGCGGGCGCGCCGCTGGCGGCCGCGCGGCCGCGGCGCGGCGGCGGCCGGCGCGGCCGGGGGCTCCGGCTCGGGCCGGGCGGCCGCCAGCGCCGGGAACCGGGCCGTCAGTCGGGCCGTGACGCGGCTCACCAGGCAGCTGAAGGCGGCCAGCAGGAAGGCGCGCAGCCCGGACGCCGGCGCCGCGTCCTCTGCGACGTCACGGGCCACACGGTCAGGTCAGGTCAGGTCAGGTCAGATCAGGTCAAGTCAGGTCAGGTCAGGCGGTGCAGCCACGTCAACGGCCGCAGACAAGAGCCCGGGTAAACTAGTCTACATCAGTCATGTGGGGTTTTGAACTGAAATAACCACATAAAAAGCCCCTCTGGTTTCTAAACTATACGCCCGCCAAAAATGGGGAACGGTGCATCGGGGACAATATTCCAAAGCCACCTTGACATTCATGCCGTCCTAATGACGTCATTCCTGTCCTGCTATTCCATAAGCCTCGCGGCGATCAAGGTCGAGAAAAATCTAATCGTCGAGGCGTGAGCGCGATTTCAAGATATAATGGCCGTCCATTGGCTCTCAATCCATGTTGTACAAGGTATGATGATGCAATCAAATCACATACTTACTAAACAGAAAATTGTGTTGTCTAGAACAACCCTTTCAACTTAGAAAGTATACCAATACTTGAAATCGGGCTTGTTTCATCATATCCGAAGCTCGCTTCAATATCTCCCAGTGTGAGACATTGCCTTGACGCGCCACGGACGGATTCACCCGCCACCTCCCTCGCCCCCCAACCAGGGCCGACATTGATAAGGGGCAGGGTGAGCAGGGAGGCACCCACCTTTGAGCGTCTGCAGGGCGAGGATGACGACGACCACGATCAGCAGCACGGTGCGCTGGTCGAGCGTCTCGCCCAGCGGCTGGCCGTTGATGGAGACGAGGCCGCCCTCGGCCGGCGACGGCTGCAGGCAGAAGCTGAGCCACTGCAGCGTCTCCTGGCACAGCTGGGGACGGCACATACAGACAGTCAGGCACGGGATAGGGGGACTGGGGCTGGGGACGGCAGACACAGGCAGTGATGCATGGGATAACGGACGGCACCAGGGACCCGCTCCACGTGGAACTGATGGGGCTCGTTTGTGTCAGCAGTGTTTTGATCACAGCACGATGAACATTGACTGAGCCTGCCGGTAATCTTCGGACAGGCGGCCCTCACAAGCGGCGCCGGCCGCCTACCCGGACGAAGCGGTGCTGCTTGGCGCCCTCCATCAGCGTGGCGCCGTAGATGACGTCCAGGAAGCTGATGATGAGCCGACGCCGCGGCGGCACCTCGCTGTTGCCGTACTCCATCTCCAGCTCCACCTGGGGAGGCGTGCCACGAGTCAGCGCTGTGCGTGAAGGTCGCAGACGGCCACTCGGTACTCTGTCCCCGGCTTTAATTGGGACGAGTCTGTGGCTCTTCCGGTCATGGAGAAACACAAATCCGGGTTGATACACTAAATGCCTCGGTTTTTTACTGCTGGCCGGGCAAATTTCCTTATCAGTCATATCAGTCACACGCATCCGTGAAAAAACAAAAAAGAAGCCTTATTACATCAACAGCCGAGATGTATCAATCCATACCATTCATTCAGTCCGAGACAAAAGCATTCCAGATTGGCATACTAGGCGGTGGGCACCGGCATCCCGCTCCGGTCTCTGTTCTCATTTACACGTGCCTAAGCGCACGTACCCTTCTTGTGTGTGTCCGGGAAGAGGAGGCGGGGAGAAAAATGAGCTTTCAGAGATGAATAAATTGGGACGAGCTTCTGTCATCACAGTGCTACGAAATCACGGATTCTACAAAGGCGGCAGATAGAACAAGCAATGCAAAATGCAGCACAACAATACGTCAAAAGCCGCGACGGGCAGCGAGCGAGCCACGGAACAAGCCCGGTATGTCCCAGCCTCTCCGGGCGGGCTCAGCGGGCCGCGCTCACCCTGCGGGCGTGGTTCTTCTCCAGCAGCTTGCGCAGGTTGAGCTGTCCGCCGTCGAAGCTCTCGTGGCAGGTGAGGCAGCGCAGGTAGTGGTAGGCGGCCTCGAGGCCGTGGGAGGCATTGCCGGCGAGCGTGCCCAGCTGGTTGTGGGGCCGGCCCACCGACGGACTGATCAGCACCGCCTGCGGGGCGAGGCCGGGTCAGCGGCCGCCGCTAGATGGCAGGGCAGGGCAGACGTCCACCTGACTGACATCGGCCTGGCAATGTACCAGAAGGCAACTCTCACAGTGACGCTGCTCAAATGCACCACGCCACGCATGTGCACGTCCGGCAAAGGAGAACGACACCTCCTGACATCACGCACTCGCTGCATGAACGGTCGCCTAAACGAGCCGTCAGCCCGCCGGGCCCAGCACTCCGGGCCCACGGGTCCCGCACTCCGGGCCCACGGATCCCCTCTCCCAGCCGGGCCACCCGCCTGGTTGTAGTAGCGCGCCGCCAGCGAGGCCGGGTACTCGTCCGGACGCAGGTCGGTGAGGTAGCGCGCCAGGTCACCGGTGCTGGTGAGGATCCGCTGCAAGGGCGGCCTGGCCCCAGGCCGACACCTGGCCGCTACAGTCGGACGCCCGGACCGTCACCGTCTCTGGGGTCAGCGCGTGACCACATCAGTTTATGAAGCATGCCAGCACGGAGCCGTGGCATCGTCTGGGCACGGAAACGCCAGCATCGCCGGAATACATCTGGGCCAAGACAAGTCACCTTATCTGAAGCACAAGGGTAGCGGGACACGTCACCGCTTCCGGAGCGTGCAGGCATCCAGATACGTCGCCGTGTCTGCAGCCCACGAGCAGCTAGACATGTCCGTCTCTGGGAGGGTACCGGCACCGATACACCTCATCATCTCTGGGGCACACAGACCAGTGGCGTCCGTCCTCACCTCGGGTCATGCCCTGCGGCTGGCAGAGTGCCAAGTCCACCCGGTGGCTGCCGCCGACGCCCAGCTGGGTCTCGAGGTTGAGCGTCAGCTGCTGGTAGCTTCCGATGCCGGCCAGCAGATGGCAGATGAGCAGGCCCGTCTCGTACTGGCCCAGCGGAAACGTCTGCCGACGGCGGCCCGGTGACGTCACGGGTGGTGCCGACGGCGGCCCGGTGACGTCACGGCCGAAGCCGGCGGCCGGCCGCGGGCGGCGCGCTGCCACCACCTGCTCCGACGAGCGCCGCAGCCGGACCGGCCGTACATGCTGGCCTGACGCCGGCTTCCGACCCCGCCCACGTTACCGCAACAACGGAAACAATAGTCTTCGGAACGGTAGTTTGTTACACACGGAAGTTTATACCAAAGGGGACATTATGGACGCTAGTTTAACCATGCTAACAGCAAAGGGCTTGAAGGTACCGTCCCGTAGCCTGGCGATGTCATAAAAATTGAGGCTTTCGGGAGCTTCAACTGCACGATCATATAGCGCCCATAACTAATGTTCTAATCAAAGATGTTCAAAAACTTCGAGGGCTGCCATGTGGCGCTAGCATGTGGCTTCGAGGGCTGCCATGTGGCGCTAGCATGTGGCTTCGAGGGCTCCCATGTGGACACTGGCGCTAACGATTTGAGTCGGCGTATACATAGAACAGATATGAACACGCGAAAGAAATTTGAAGCGATGCTTGGTGTGTATTGAGCCACTGCCGAAAAAATCGCAGAGCGTGAGGGAAGGCGCAGCCGGGCTAGAGTACCGCACAATTTAAACACGTAACACGGAACAAGAGACGAGCACATGAGGCACAAAACGCGTTGTGTTACATTGGCGGCACCGAGGCGGTTCATCGCGACACAAAATGGCTAGCTATGGGTGACGTAAGCACGGCCTATCCGCAAGCAACTTAGAATGACTTTCTTCCACCCTGGCTTCCGAAAGCATTACTGCCATTCTTCAATAACCGGCTTAAACATCTTAAGTTTGTTGGTGCCGCACTGCATGTGCTCTGCTACCGGCTTCGTCAAAAGACAATACGACTGGGAAGTCCGTGGCGGGTATTGAATGCGCCGCTTGCCGCACAAAGCCGCTTACCTGGCCTATCTGTTTGGCGCGGCTGTAGGGTTCATAGTGGACCTTCCTCCAGAGCAGGTCCTCAGCTTTGCGGCCGCTGTCCTCCGGGTCAGACACGATCATCTGCTCGCAGAGCTCCCTCAGCCGAAGCCTGCCGCCCGCACAGAGACCGGGGTCAGATCAGCAGGTCAGGGAGCACTGGACAGAAGACTGGGACAACAGGCAGCCTCCTCATGCCATGCCGGACACACTGACGATGCGGCCGGTTAGCGCAGGCTGGGGTAAGATGCGGCCATGGATAGACTGCATTGGAGATGAGCAGCACGACCTGGCGTAGGCAGGGCTGAAGCATCAGCTCTGGAAATCCAGACCCACAGAACCCACCAAAACCCCCAAAACGTACATCAGGTGTTATAAGCTCCACTGAACTCTGAATGAAAAATGTATGTTTTCAACTGACCTGAGTCCATTGTTGGCAGGGGTGAGCACCTCCTGCACAGTTTTGGCATGCCGTAACCCCTCATCAAGTCTTCGGACCACCTCTGCCACAGAGCTGAAATGATCAGGACAGCACAATGACACCTCCATTCAAAACCTTTACGAGTTCCGGCGCACTAAGTTCTTCTCAAGTTACCTCTGTAGAAAACTATGTAGAGAGCTGCAGCTGACTACTCTGTACTTCATCCCAGGGCCTTCTCTTTATGCCATAATAACTCCTAAAAGTTTTGGTCATAACATAGGCTAACTGGGGATGAGTGGCCCCCTGATGGCCATTCCATTACGGCAGAGTTTCAGTCGCTAGCATGAAGGCTGGACAGACTGACAAAGCAGAGCAATTGTAGGATTTCATATGGTTTGGGATCTGTCGGGATTCAAACGACTATGATCATGATTATTTGCCCCTCATTCTATGACGAAATAAAAGAAGAAATCTATTGGGAGGCACCATAACATCATATCTTGAAACTGTTGTTCCAAACAAGTCACAATAAAGGTACAAATATAAAAATGCAGTACTAACTGGCGGTTAATACCGCGCATTGGAGCTTATAGATGCAATGTGATAACTCAGCACGCGTGTTTTGTTTGGGCTATTACAATAGAGCATTTCGTGAGATGCAGTGGGCAAACCAGATGTCATACGACAACCTTAAACGTAGTTAGACCTTTAGACGCTCCGAAACTGCGCGGAATTCCGACATCAGCTTAACAGCTGGCCATTGCCTGAACACAAACCTGACACGCGCCTGGACTGATCTGACTGGGCCGACACATCACCGGTCACAGCAGTCATTTACGATCTTTTGTACACGGCTCAACGTATCCCCGCTGTCCATTCTGACGCACAAACAGCAAACTTGTTTCAACTCAGCTTTCGCTACTGCTTGAACAATAGCCCTGAGGCATATGCCATCCAGTTTCACTTCGTCCACATAACAACACGGCAACGATGGACGATCCTTCCCTTCTACGAAATTCGGCGCCATGAACTTTTGCCCTCGACAAACTTTTACGCGACGAACCCTTGTCTAAAGAACTTCTCCGAGGAGTCTCACGAACCTTCCGCCCGCTTTTTGAGCCTAACTCACGGAGATTCACGACAAAATCATTTTCTGAATCAGTGGTACTGGAGCATGTGATTTAAGTCAGGTATTTTTAAATGGTGTGACTGATTCTAAGTTTTGTGTCATGTCAAACTCAAAATCGTTTGTGCCATTATTCAAAGTATATAACAATGTTTACTTGAATCGTCAGAAAATTATGCCTAATGTGAGCACATAACCACACATTCAGAATTTCAAGAAATGGCCATGTCATAACTATTTCAGCCAAGTGGATGATTTGTTAGGAGTTTTGGAACATCAGCAAATTGTCTGCATATATGTAAAATATCTGCGAGCTATAAGATATATAATATCCTACGAGCTTCTGCCAAAGTTTCCAGCTTTTGCTCTGTAATTGGATTGGCGTGATTCAAGTGACATATTATTCATCTGCCGTAGCTTACCACAAAATGTATAAACTACCAGGGCTGTAGCTACAAATGTCAATAACACCAATGATGTTGGTCAAATGGAACCAATGCTAATCATGGAATCAGTTCCATTTCACTGGAATTATCAATATAATTTTAATTTAATAAGGTATGTTAGGAGTAACATAGGATTTCACCTGGAATCAGAAAGAATTCAAGATTGCACCTGTCACTGGAGCATAGCACCAGTTGCATTGTAAACAGGATGCATGGAAATGAAACCAGCATACATTCTGAATGCAACACCCTAGAATAAGAACAATGTCTATCAGACTGCAATTGAGCCAAAGTCTCCACATGATATAAATTTGTGCATGACAAACTTTGCTACACACAAACCTTTACCGAGATACACTTGGTGCTGTACAAACTTTTACCTGGGCAAACTAAATGCAGATGAACTCAAGTAAGATGAACTTTTGCCCTAGATGCACTTTTGCTCATAAAAGCTAATTACCCTGTGAACTTCTGTCCCATGAACATTTGTCCACAAACTTTCATACAGAAGACACCATTTAGGTTACCTCTTATTATCAGGCATCAGGTCAGGTCAAACTATACCAGATCCAGCATATGGTTTTCTCATGACTTTTATAAGCCCACAATATACCTCAGATTGACCAAAGTCAAAGCAAGTCACCACTTACTTCCAAGGAGCAGTGTGGGTTTATCTGAGACAATTCAAAGACCTTTCATGACCTTGGTATCTGTATCATTTGTGACTTAAATCAGCTGTATCCATGCTGAATTTGCTTGAATAAGGAATGTGTCATAGATGCCACCAAATATTTGAAGAATGTCACCCTCAGTGTTTGATTAAAATGAAAGACAGAAAGGATGACAGCATTCCATGCAATTAGTGGCAGCCTGTTGCTTCTGATGATGACAAACTATTCAACCTAAAGTATGAAAACAAAGGTTTAGAGGACTGCAGGACATTAGAGGAAAAGAAATAAAGAAGTCAAATTCCTATCCTCTACTTAAATTGACTCATTCCATACATGTTTAATTCACTGCACAATGCATTGTTTAAAAAAGATGCACATTTCATGCTGTGCAGATATTTTACATGTATGCAGACAATTCACTGATGTTCCAAAACTCCTAACCAATCATCCACTGGGCTGAAATAGTTGACACAACCATTTCTTGAAATTCTGAATGTGTGGTTATGTGCTCACATCAGGCATAATTTTCTGACAATTCAAACAAACATTATTATACACTATGAATAATGGCACAAACCATTTTGAGTTTGATATGCAAAACTTAGAATCAGTCACACCATTTAAAAAATACCTGATTTAAATCACATGTTCCAGTACCAATGATTCAGTCAATGATTTTGTCATGAATCTCCATGAGTTAGGCTCAAAAATACTTAAAGATATCTCATGCTACATCAGTCATAAGTCTACCTCATGGAAGCATGGTGGTGACTTAGTGAACTCTGACTCAGTGTGCATCAACTGCAATTCTGACTTTGAGTGGATAACACAATTTTTCATCAGCTCTAATCCTGAAGCTACAAAATATAGCTCAGTTTCAGGATGGACATTTATGGGATTTAGCAAGGAGAAATGCTGCATGATCTAACATTGTCACTAAAAAATGATACCATGAAGCAGGCAGACAAAATGCATTACCCAGAATATAACAGGCTCACAACTTTAATGTCCCTGATTTCAATCTGCTATAATCTTCACCATTAACATTAATTTGCCTGCATACTGATGCATATGCAAAGTTTATCAGAGGCTTGCACATGTCCCTGGTACCCCTCCCCCTTAAATACAGCCCTGATCCCATGGTTGATTATGAGTCAGGTTTATTTTGGCAATACCTTCAAGACAAAGTGCTCTGTAGTACATGCAAATATCTGCATTGGTTAAATGCTTAGCTGACAACATGATCATATATCTGTGTTTTGCGTGCTGCACACACAAAACCAGCCAGAATATAATCTATCACAGAAGTTCAACCATGTGATTTTTGCTTCCAAAAATTCATTGCTTTGGTAGTAATCAGTTTAAAAGTACCAATTCCTTTAGAGGTAACATAACCATGAACTCATCTCCCATATGGTTTTCATGTTGTTATGACCATTTACAGCTGGTCGAGCATCAGTCAGGTATCACTGATATACAACAAGTGGGGCCACAGACCAGCCACCTGAAATTAAGACTGCTCATGATGCGCCAAACAGAAAAACAGATCATGGGGAGCTGATGCAATGTATAAGTTACATGAAAATGTGCAACCACAGTTGAACCAGCGACAAGAAACGTGCGCACCACAGAATATATACATGCCTTAGAATTCGTTTGCCGCCGTCAGAATCACTAGAATTTTTCAAGATACTTTTCATCTTATCTCACATGGTCTTCTTTGTTCCAGTACTATGTGATATTCTTAACTTTCAGGTCAAGCAAGGCTAACAAAAACGAGAACCACGCCGACCCCCACTCCATCATGCATATGCACTGCCTCTCAGCTGCTCATCCCCGCGTTATCGTGGCAGTGATCCCACCTCAGCGAATGCGACGCAAGCCTGCGCCATGATGAGGAGATTGCACGAGTACGTCAGCTGGCCCTGTTCACGTACTGCGCGCGCGCCGAGCAAGTAAAATTAGGCTCCGCCCCCTGAGGTCACACGGGACCACGCACTGTTGATCAGGGGCAGATCCATGGGGGGGGGGACACGGGGCCATGACCCCATCTTGGGTCCCGAAGGCACCCGTAGGTTCCGAATGGGCCCAAAGCCGGCCGAGCAGATGCATTTTTTACACAAAACGCAACAAATTTGGACATTTTTGGGTTTCCAGGCTTGCGACAACAGTCGCCAGCGAAAGTAAAGGGCCCACGAGTAAACAAAAATTATTTTTCGCTGATTGAGAGGGTCGTCATTGGGATATAATGAGGCTTATTACGCTGTCCAAAGGCCTTATGCTGTCTCCGGTTGACCTATATGCCTCCTTGCAGGATCAATCCGATCGTTACGGAGCTTTCCACGCTGCGCTCACTTTCTTTGAATTTGCCTTGAGTGTCCTGGGCTGTCGCTGGGGCCCTTCCTGTTACCATGCTGGGGCGCTCATATCAGTCAGGGGTCTTCCACGGATTCTTCCCATTCGCCCGAAAGGCTCTGTACGCTCTACACACACACACACACACACACACACACACACACACACACACACACACACACACACACACACACACACACACACACACACACACACACACACACACACACACACATATATATATATATATATATATATATATATATATATATATATATATATATATATATATATATACGCGAACCTAGCGGGATATTCTCGGTTGCTTAGGGGCCTTTTACGTCGGTCTCGGTTAACCTACCGATACACTCTCGATATGTTCAAAGGCGCTCTACTTTGGTCTACAGCCCTTCCAATGCTCTGCCACTTGCTTAGAGCGCTACGCTCTTGTCGGGGGCCCTCCTGCTAACCTGCTGGAGCACAGGCAGTCGATCGGGCCCCTACAAAAAAAATTGGGTGTTGGGTACTTTTTATTTGAATGGAGGACCCTGCACACTTGTCGGTCCCCAATCTGTTAACCTGCTCGGGCACACTCCAGCGTTTGGGGTCATCCATATTATATCATGAGTTCTTCCTATTTGAATGGAGCTCCCTACGCACTTGATGGGGGCCCTCTCTGTCCGTCTCCTCGGCCGCACTGGGTTGCCTGGGGGCCCTACACACTGGGTATTTGAATGTAAACCTCTACGCTCCCGTCGGCGGCTTACCTGATGGCTTACTCGGGCACATTTAGTCGTTCGGGTGCAGTATACATCTGGTCTTGGGCACTAACTATTTGAATGGAAGGCCCTACGCTCTTGTCGCGGGTCCTATCTGTTCACCCACTGGCGCACTCGATCGTTCAGGAGTATTTACATACATTTATACAGGGGTATTTACATACATTTATATACAGGGGTAAAGGGGTATTTTGCCGTGGGTATTTTCTTATTTGAATGGAGGACCATATGCTCTCGTGGAGTTGCCCTCCTGTTAGCCTGCTTGGGCACACTCGATCGCTCGGAGCCCTCCTTAATGTGCCTCTGGTACTTCTTATTTGAATGAATGGTTATATATTCTTGGCAGGGCCCCACCTGTTAAGCTGCTCAGGCCGGTGGCGGATACGGATGGGGGGGGGGGGGGACACAGCACCATGCCCCTCGTCCCCGAGGGGGCCCATAGGCTTCGAAGGGGCCCATAACCGGCCGATCGGAAGAAGTTTTTAACACAAAACAGAAAATTGGACGTCTTTGCGCTACCGAGGACCAACAATGGTTGCAAGCGAAAGTAAAGGGCCCGTGAGCAGGCAAAGTTGATTCTTTGCTGATTGAGGTCTTGACTGGGAAATTTTGGGTCAATACGCTATCCAAAGGCCCAACATTGTTACCCGGACCCTACATGCTCACTCCCACGTTACCCTTGGTATCTTTGCATTTTCTCTCAGAGCCTTACGTTGCTGTTGGGACATTCTCTGCTTACATGCCTGGGCTCTCTTCATTTGTCAGGTTTTCCTCCACGGATTCTTCCCATTCGAAAGACTTTACATGTTTTTTTTTCGGGCCCCATATGCCAGGGTGCATTTAGTCGCTCAGAGACCCTTCACACTGGCGTCTAGTTCTTGTCACTAGCTCGGAGAGCCTTGTGTTGTTCCTGGAGCTTACACAAAGCAAGGTACCGAGCCACGCGATGCTCAGAGGCCTCTACTTTGAAATAGGTCTCTTTCCCCGTAATCTCATTTGCGGAGAACCCTTTATTCCTACCGGGGCTCTTTCTATTGATCTGCCCGGGCACTCTTGATCGCACAGGGTTACCATTAGTTCAATTGGTCTTTGATAATTTTCCGTTGCTCAGAGGAGTCTGTGCTCTGGCCGGGGTCCTGTATGTTGGACTGCCGGGGCACTAGCGATCATTCAGGGGCCCACCACATCCGTCTTGGGTTCTTCTCGCTTGCTCTGAGGACACTACACCTGTTGACGGAAGCGTCTTTGTTGGCATCCCGCGGCGCCCATGATCGCTCAGGCTCAGCCCCCAGTGGTCTTGATGCCTTAGCATTAGAGCGGCATGCAGTATGCAGCCGATGGATTTTTACGCGCAATTGTCAAAGGTAATTTTTGCGTGCTTCCAACGTCCAATGTGTCATTTCCCTTGGCTATTGAATGCGTGACACCTAATATACTTGCGCGTCACGTTCTTGATACATTTTAAATGCTAATATATGTTGTATTCCTATATAACAGAGGAAAAGCTCTGACTTAGTCACCAGCCATCAGGTGACCATTATCGACCAGCCGGCTAGCCGTAAATAAGCTAAGAACCAAGCTCAAGTTGATTTTAATGATATTTAGCAGTCAAGTTTAGTTTATTTAGGCTGTTTTTCCGAAAAAAAACAGCCTTAAATGATAGCATTTAACATGATCTGTAGAACGTCAATAAGCTCCCTGTATGTGCATACATAGCACGGCTAACATTCTAGGGCGCGCACAGTATGATGGGTTCCCGTATTTCCTCATGTGTATAAATAACTGTCCACTGATTTGCCCCTTAAATCCTAATGATTCTAATTGATACTTAATTCATCAATAATTGATAAATCCTATCATTTCGGGCTAAGTTTTTTCTCGGAAAACAGGCTCAATAAACTAAACTTGACTGCTAAACATCATCAAAATCAACGTGAACTTGGTTCTATACTAATTTACGGCTAGCCGGCTGGTCGATGTGATCATCTGATGGCTTGTGACTAAGTCAGCAATTTTCCTTTGTTATAAAGGAATACAATATACCTTAGCATTCAAAATGTATCAAGAACGTGACGCGCAAGTATACTAAGTGTCACACATTCAATAGCCAAGGGAAATGAGACATTGGACGTCGGAAGCACGTACAAATTATCTTCGACAGTTGCTCGTAAAAATTCAGCGATGTGTGTGTTATATTAACCTCTTTTGATCTCTTACAACTTGATGGTAGGCGTACGAGTATTTTTTTTGGAGAGGGCTCTAAACTCCAGGGGACCCCGCAATGTTGCGTGGTCTTCTCCCCTAGACGAAATCCTAGATCTGCCCTTGCCGTCGACCGATGTCGTGACATTAGTGCCACGGCAAAGATTGCTTTATACTGGAGTGCTAAGACATCCCTTCTGCTGCAAAAACTCAAACAGACTGTTCTTACACGCAGCATTACACCTACTGCATGGACATCAACACGACAGGAGTGCTACACGGCAAGATATCTTATTCAAAAGTTTACACAGGCCATGACATCTACTGCGAAAACTTAAACAGTCCTTCCTTTTAAGCAGCATTACTTCTGCTGCAAAACTCAGTAAACGACAAAGCTTACGCTGCAAAAATTATACAAGTCACCTATAGACCGGAGGTCGCATTTAATGGTTCCCGGCCCGCAGCGCCGAGCACCCCAATACCAGCCAGACGGTCCTGCGGACTGATCAGAGGCCCCTGAGTGATATGGGTCTAAATGTCGGTCAGACACCACTAGTAACGCACAACCGGCTTCGCTGCAGCATGGGTCTGAGGACTCATATCCGAAGCAGGGACATAGCCGGAGCCAGCGATTTACATTGTTCATAGCCCCAGTGCCTGTCAGGGCCCTATAACGTCTAACGGGGGCCTTGTGTTGGTATGGGTCCCGAGTTGGCCAGATACAGTCTTCGAGGAGGCTCGAAGAACCCGGAGGGCCCACCTGCTATGACAATCAAGGGCCCGGCTGGAGGTTCTAAGGGCACGAAGGCCTGGTCGAAGTCTGATTTAAGGTCCCTGGCATGCGGGGACGGGCCTTCATATAACAGTCAGGGACTATCTGCGGTCGATATAGACCTATATAGGAGGCCCGGACGGCCCAACAGAACCGTCAACAGAACTAGGTCGTGACCTGAAATATGTCAGGTGTCCTCTTGCAATGTTTGTGGACCCTTTGAGACAATGCGGGTGTCTAAGTTGGCCAGAGACCGCCAACACCGAACAGCTGGCTCCCTGTCAGTCTGAACCCTGGGGCCCACTTCCCAAGCAGGAGCAAGGTCGGCGGCCACGATTGGAATTGGTCTGGATCCCTAAAACAATGGTTCGGGCCCCTGTGTCAGCCAGGACCCACAGTGCCCTAACGAGAGGTGTTGTGTCAGCTAATGGTCCACAGTTGGTCACAGGCTTTGTTTGAGGAGATCCGAAGAATGACCGGGGGGCACCTCGGGACCAAAGATCAAGCGCCTGATTGGACTCGGGCCCGGTCCCTATCCGTAGTACCGTGACCTGATATTTCAGTCAGAGGACTTCTATTGAGGTCCTCTAACCAGGGTTACCCATCCATATTATATAGGGCCTCGACACGGGGCAAAACAGTCGGTTCCACGTCTATCCGAGCTCTTGAGACTCATTGCCCAAGCAGGAACCAGAGCGGGGCCGCGATTTCCATTGTTCGGCGCCCTAACACAATGA